TCACCCCAGGAACAGTTCCTGCATTAAAATATAGTGCCATTTTATAAATGATAAACCATTTTATTGCAAAAGAAAAAAAAAATTAATTATTCCTGCTCTTGCTTCCCACGGGCAGGGTTAATCCTGCTCGTGCAGGACAGGACAGTGAGGAGGGGATGCTGGGGATGCAACAGGGCAGCAGCATTCCCGAGCCACAGCAGCGGGGACTGCCGTGGGGACACGGGGTGACACAGCGGTGTCACAGCCGTGACTGCCGTGGGGACACAGCGGTGGCCGTGCGGGAATGCTGAGTCACCTTCTGCTCTCCCCTCCGTGAGGCTCAAAGCCTCTTTTTCCCCCACCGGAGAAGGGATTTTCATTGTCAGCACGGGCACAGAAGGTGGAAAATTCAGCCAATGTGCTTAACTTAGGATTGCATCCTCAGTGCGGTGCTCACTTGGGGGCTGGTGTGGTAATAAAAGAATTAACGAGTCCTTTTTAGTCCATTTGCTGAACAAAACTGGTTCCAGTGCTCCGAACCCCGGCTCGGATCGGAGCCCAGCACCTTTGGGGTGTGGAGGCTGCGGGGTCCGAACACGGCACCGCTCTGTTGTTCAGCAACGGGAGTTTTCACCACCACAGGCATGAGGAAGTGGCACCTGCTGGTGGGGACGTGACAGTCACTTCTCTCCGAGGACAAGGTGTTCAGGGCGTTGGCCACCCAAAATACCACAGGAAAGAGAACAGAGCCTGATTAGCAAGGGGGGAAACTGAGGCAGAAAAGGATTTTGCTTTGCCTGCTCAGGGCTTGGCAGCGAATTGCTGGATAGACGCAGATATACCCCAAGTTCCTATTTCTACTAATTGCCTTTATGGTGGCAAAGGTCATTGCACAAAAGTGTGATCTTGACAAGATTTGGAGAAATTTAATTAATAGTAGCTCTTAAAGCAGGGACTTTCTGTTCGCTGCATTGGGGCTTGGCACTGCTCACCCCAGGAACAGTTCCTACATTAAAATATAGTGCCATTTTATAAATAATAAACCATTTTATTGCAAAAAAAAAAAAAAAATTATGCTTGCTCTTGCTTCCCACTGGCAGGGTTAATCCTGCTCGTGCAGGAGAGGACAGTGAGGAGGGGATGCTGGAGATGCAACAGGGCAGCAGCATTCTCGAGCTGTAGGAGCTGCCTGAGGATGCAGTGAGGGCAAAACAAGATTAATACAGCCAGGAGCCCCCAGAATGGCTTTGCATTTGATGTAGGAGAGGAGGGACATCAGAGTATGGCGGAGTCAGGATTAACTTAAATTTACAAACCTTCCATTCGGAACTGCAGGGCAGTCCTGGACTGTGTTCCCCCATGGTGTGACCCATCAGTACCTCAGGCTATAGGAACATTTGGGGACACCATCACTGGTGTTCCCTCCTCCCCAGACACAGCCTGTTCTGTCTCCCCTCTGGTCAGCTGAACAGAAAAAGTGATAAATCTTCAGCCAAATTAATCTTCAGACAGAAAACCAATAGCTCTGAGCTGCCTGACAAGCCCCCAGTTTTCCCTTCCAGGAGGGGTTATAAGCAGGGAGCCCCTGAAAAACGGAGTGAGTGTGCACAGACAGGGTATGGGATGCACCAGGCACATTCCCTTGGCTGTTACGTGCCCATGAACTTGAAGGGATGAGACAGGAACCAAATCCACCACAGGACTTTGCCTCCCTGGTAACGCCTGAGCCCTTCTGACTTCGCTTTGATCCTGACCCGGGTCCAGAGCACTGCAATGTGCCACAGGGATGTGCCCTGCTCCCGGAAAACCGGGTCCGTGTGGGACAAGGGCAGGGCTTGGGCTTCAGCAGCTTCTCAGCCATTTCTGAGCAGGGCCGTGCCAGCATTGCTGCTGAAGGGAAGGAGGTAGCACAGCTGGAATTGCCCTGAAACAGTGCCTAGCAGGGAAATCCCTCAACAGCCCTCCCAGCTCCTTGCAGGAAGGAGCTCAAGGCAATCAGCCCTCCAAGGCTGGCCCCAGAAGCCCCCCCAAGCCTTCAACTATCACAGACCCAAGCTGTGCTCTCCTT